AAAAAAAAAAAACAGCTGGTAGTCTGCTACTGGGCCTTTGTAGAGACTGAATGCTTAATCATGGGCGAAGTGAACAAATGCCTATGGTCATCAACTCCTACTGCACTGCCTTTTATCTATCAGCATGAATTCCTCATGGAAAGTTCCTACCATCAACTGGCTTCCTACCCAAACTCAGGTCTGGTTTATAGGTAGTTCTGTAGGATAGTCAAGCACCACTCAAAAGTGGACAATTGAAACACTACAGCCCCTTTCTAAGGCATCCCTGAAGGACAGTGATGAAGGGAAATCCTCCCAATGAGCAGAACTGAAAGCTGTGCACCTGGCTTTTAGTTTGCCTGGAAAAAGATATGGCCAGACATGTGATTATATATTGATTCATATTCTGTGGCCAATGGTTTGGCTGGATGGTCAGGGAACTTGGAATGAACATGATTGGAAAATTGGTGACAAGGAAATATGGAGAAGAGGTATGTGAACAGACATCTCTGAATGGGCAACAAATTTAAAGATATTTCTTTCCAAAGTGAATGTTCAATATAATATTTTAAAAAATAACTGGCTAGAGTGATCCATTCTGTAGACACTAGTCATTCTATTTCCCCAGCCACCCATTATAGCCAGTATTCATAGGTCTAGAAATTAAGGATGAACAATGGGAGTGGCACCACTCACTATTGCCACTAGGCTATGAAAAAAAAATGTCCACTCTGACCATTCTTACTCAAAATAGTAGTGGAAGTCCTAGCCAGCACAAAAAAGCAAAAAAGAAAAGAAAAGACATATAAATTGGCAAAAAGAAATAAAACTGTCCAATTTGTAAATGACAAAGAAAAGCCCAAGGAATCTACCAAAACAACTCATAGAACTAAGTGACATCAGCAAAGTCACAGGATATAATATCAACACACAAAACTTAGTTATATTTCCATAAACTATCAGTAAACATGTGGCAACTGAAATTAAAAACACAACACAATTTATAATCATTCTAAAGAATTAAAACTTAAGTATCCTATATAATAAAGAGGTGATATGCAAATTAACCCTCACACCCTCACAAGATGGCTGCCTATATATACTGCTTGTGTAAGTATAAATTGGAACACCAAATTTTCACATTACAATGTAAGGTTGAAGATGCTCAAAATCTCTCTATGGAAACCCAGGAAATCTATTTTTCTGAGTGTACTGGTCATTCCTGAAGCATACAAGCATGCAGTCAAACCTTCCAGAGGGTTGACTACAACTGTCTCCAATTCCTCTCTTCCAATTCTCTACACAGATTCTCGAATATGCTTTCATTTTCAACAATTCACTGAAACAGCTTTTTGTGAAGATTACCAATCATGTCCACACTATCAAATCCAAGAGTATACTAGTATTCTCAGTCCTCACCTAGCCTGACTCATCACCATGACTAAATTAATGATTCCCATAATCTTCATTTAAGGTTCAGGACCTCCCTCTTGCTCCTGGTTCTCAGCCTATCTTGCTAGAGATTCATTTTCAGCCTCTTTAGTGGGTTCCTCCTTATCTTCCTGACCCTAAGGTTGAGATGCCCCAGGGCTGAATCTTCAGATGTGTTCTCTTTTCTGGCTACACTGACATTCCTGGTGATGTCAATCATGATCATAACTTCAAACATTAATGATTCCCAAAACTATTATTCTAAACCACATGCTCTCCCATACCCCACACTCAACTTCTCCACCTTCAAGTTTAAGGAACATCTTAGTTTAATACATATAAAAGCTAACTCTTATTTCCCATTACAACCACTTTCACTGCAACCAGCTTTTTTCCAATTTTCTTAATATAATTAATAGCACCTATCTTAAAACTATTTAGGCCAAGAGCCTTCAAAGCTATCTTTGTTTTTTTACATCTCATGTCTAATCCAACAACAAATTCTGTCATGTCATCTCTTCCTTCAAAACATAACCAGAATCTGTCCATTCTTTATCATCCTAATCAAAGACTTCACATTTGTGAGGAGAAAGCAAGGGAAAGCCATTTGCCATTTTCGTAGGTAAGAGCTAGTTACACCATCCCTTTGACAGATCATTTGCATTAAAAGCAGGGACAAGGTGAGTCAACTGGTTGCTTTATCTTATGTATGCTTTAGGATTTCATGAAAAGAGATAAAAGAAGGCAGTAAAAGAGGTTCTTGAAGTATCTTTATCATCCAGGCCAGCAGTGCAGAGTAGGACAGCAGCTAGATATTCAGAGAAGTGGCCAAAGCCAAGACAGTCTGGTACATATTCAGCTGGGGCATCTCCTACATAGCATCTTGAAGACCAGATAGACTCCATGCTGAATCAAGTAAAAGAGACTTTTATCAGCTGGCATAGTTGGCATCTCAACATTTAGAAAACCCAAGATATATTTTTTCTACTACCAAACAAAGTAACTGTGAAACCTTGCACAAGTTACTCAGATAATCTGATCTTGGGCAAATCACTAGACAGTGAGACTGAAATATATGAAGAAAACTTACAGGCCCAGAATGAATACTTCTTTTAGAGGTAAAATTATTTTAGATAGCAGGTTTATTTTTTTTTAAGTCTAGAACTCGAAAATTCCAAAAAAATGTCTAAGGCAGATTCTTTCTGAGGTGTTAACATGAAGGGTCTCTCATAATATATCCCTAGTGCCAATGCCACAAAGATAAAATGCAGAATTAGGCAGATCACTATCCTAAATTAGTAGGACATCGAGAACAACAAAAATATGATAAGGTCACTATCTGTAGTTTAGTTTTTACCATAAATTTATATGGCCTTGAATAAGAAAAGCATTAAGAATTCTGGCTGTAAAATTACTTGATTCTATGATTTATTTGCTGAGTACAGACTATATCTCAGACACTGAGATAGTTGCTGTAGGGACACAAATAATTACAAATAGATTAAGTACTGTTTTTATTTTAGAACTGAAATAAACAGCAGGTCACCTAAATAGTCCTATACCTTCATCAGGCACAATGAAAATATCCTAAAAAAGCAATTTAAGTATGTACCTTTCAGTGCTGTAGTCTTTTCTTTTTCATCTGGACCTCCCTGCTGGATTTGTGCCATGCTTATCCAAATTGGGCACAAAATTAAAGAGCTCAAGGAAATAGACATCAATCTTCAGAAGACAGTCTAGAATGAATGAAAGCAATAAATTAAGCTCTACTCAATCCTGCCTACTCCATGAGAACTTCCTTGATCCTCCCAGTCAAGATTAATCTATCCTAATTTTCCACAGTGTTTTGTTCATGTCTATACTACAGTACTCATCAAAGGCTGCCTTGCACTGTAGTTATTTATATATTTGTCTAGGTCAGCTAAAAGATTACAAGCACCAGGACAGAGGTATCAAGTTTTTTCATCATTACTAGAGGCCCGGTGCACAAAACTTTGTGCACTCGGGGAGGAGCGGGGGTCCCTCAGCCCAACCTGTGCCCTCTCGCAGTCTGGGACCCCTAGGGAGATAACGACCTGCTGGCTTAGGCCTGCTCCCGGGTGGCAGAGGGCAGGCCCAATCCCTAGGTGCAGCCCCTGGTCGGGCTCAGAGC